ACATGGGGACAATGGGGGGACAATGGGGACATGGGGACAATGGGGGGACACGGGGACAGCTGTGGGGTGACCCCTTTTTTCCTCCCCAGCTGTGCCGGAGCTTGTGCCAGCGCCCCGCACGCGTGCCCCCCGCGGAGGGTGGCACCTCTGGGGGTGACACCTCTGGGGGTGACACCTCGGGGGGTGGCACCTCGGGGGGTGACACCCCGAGGACCTCAGAGTGGCACCGCCGCTTCCACAAGATCTGGGAGAACGACCCCCAGCCCCGGGGCCACCCCCAGAGCCCCGTGGGGGGTGACACCTTGAGGGGTGCCACCTCAGGGGGTGACACCTCAGGGAGAACCACCTCAAGGGGTGACACCTTCTGGGGTGACACTTCAAGGAGTGACACCTCAGGGGGTGCCACCTTAGGGGGTGCCACCTCAAGGGGTGACACCTCAAGGGGTGCCACCTCAACAGGTGACACCTGGGGTGACACTTCAGGGGGTGCCACCTCAGGGAGAGCCACCTCAAGGGGTGACACTTCATGGGGTGACACCTCGAGGGGTGACACCTCAGGGGGTGACACCTCAACAGGTGACACCTGGGGTGCCACTTCAGGGGGCGCCACCTCAGGGGGCGCCACCCCCAAGGCCCCTCTGCGCCACCTGCGCTCCTACAGATCGCGCCGCGAGGATGCCCACGGCGACGCCGCCGGTGACCGTGATGCCCACGGCGACCCCGGCGACCCCGGCGACCCCGGCGCGGCGTTCACGGCGGCGCTGGAGGAGCTGGCGCGGAGCCCGCCGGGGCGCGGGGGCCGGCTGGCGCTGGTGGAGGCGGCGCTGGCGGCGCTGCCGGCGCGCGGGGCCGGGCGCAGCCTGGCCGCCTACAAGGCGCTGCTGCGGCTGCTGCCGCGCGGGGCCTGGGTGCCGCGCGGAGCCGTGCAGCGCCTGCTCTTCCCCTTCCCGCGGCAGCAGGAGTGCGGCCTGCGCCTGCTCGAGTGCATGGAGCGCCACGGTGCGTGCTGGTGTGCCCCGGTGTGTCCCGGTGTGTCCCGGTGTCACTCGTGTGGTGTGCCCCGGTGTGCCCCGGTGTGTCCTGGTGTGACTCGTGTGGTGCGTCTCGGTGTGCCCCAGTGTGTCCCGGTGTGTCCTGGTGTGTCCCGGTGTCACTCGTGTGGTGTGTCCCAGTGTGCCCCGGTGTGTCCTGGTGTGTCCCGGTGTGTCCTGGTGTCACTCGTGTGGTGTGCCCCGGTGTGTCCTGGTGTGCCCCG